TTTTTTAAATACATTTCACATCATTCAAGAGAATAGCTCAGTTCTGAACTAACCAATCCATGTCCTTGTTCATCAACCTCGTAAAGAAGCCACCAGACGAGAAGTAAACTTTCTTCAGGCAAACCAAACCAGTCCGGTTGCCCACTTCTGAACTTATCAGGATAAAAATGATTTAAATGACTGAAAATCTACACACATAAGACCTAACATAGAAAGGCCTGTAGCTTCTTACAGTCAGGTGGTAGTCAGGACTCCCCATACCTGTTATACTGCCAATTTATACTACTGACCTACAAAAAAAATTCAATACATAATAAGTAGCACATGGCAGTAGTGAGCGGTTCTTAAAGTGAAACATGACATCAAGATTTCCACACTGGAGCTGTGACTTTTTTTTTTCCAAAAACCAAGAGTGAACATGACATGCTAGATTTTCCAGTTGTCTTGTAAACACCACCCAATAACTCAGCACACTTGCATTGGAGCCTTGTAATTTCTCCAGTGGCCCGTTCCAGGGTTTCTTGTCAGGTACTTGTTAAAGCAGCATCTGTCTTCCTGTATCTGCCTTAGGCATTCTGTCAGAATTATTAACAACAGAAACCACCAATAAAACCTCTATAGTTGTTCAGCTGCTGTACTGTTCTGTGGTGCAGGCACAGAGGCATTAAGAATCAGCAGAAACCAATTCAGGGTCAAGTATTCTGGGAGGTAACTTTAAAACACACTCAAATGTAGTTATTCCAACTTTCTAAGTATGAGTTGATAATACACTTTGACGGCCCTACTTCGCACTTGTTCATTTTCAGAGATTTATGGTAAAAAAAAAATCTAAGAAAAGTTGTTTCCAGCAGCAAATGGAACTTTAGAAAAGATTTAAAGTTTGCCTTTTAATCCAAGTTGTTTGAAACTTTAACCAACTTGGCCTCTGACTGTCTTTCAGCAGGGCATGTATGCCAGTAATAATGCGGTGAGTGATGGTGATTGGAATTGAACTGGTAAATAACAAAATTGTCATGCAAAGTGCTTTGATTGGTCTCGACTGGAAATATAATATGTAAACTAAAGCTATTTGCTGCATTACTTCTCACAGCTGACTGCAATTCTGTCAGAAATGATCAGCATTTCATTCCAACATCCCCATAAACCCATCATCAGCATAAGAAGCAACAGCAACACTTAGCCAATTGGTGTTTAACCAATGTGAAATGTCCTCCAAGGTTTTTATTTCCCTGCTGTTACAGTCATTGCAACCAGCTGCTTCTTATCTGTGGGACTTTTGCCCTTCACTTTTGTCTTCAGCAGGTGGAATACATGCTCCATTTATGTCAGGTAACTGACCGAATATTCAATGTCGACTCATTCAACCAACTGTAGCTTGATAATGATGATGTTTGGGCCATTATCCATTAGTACAACGGCACCATTTCTTCAGTTTTGTCACATACTTGGCTGAATCTGACCAGAAATGTATGGGTGAAATTCAAATACTTGACCTGGAAAATGAATTAAAATGTATATAATGAATCCAAAATAAACAAATATCTCAAATCATGTATCTGTAAAATATTGTCTTAGATCAAATATAATTGGTGACTCTGTTCCTTAATAACCTGTAAAGCCTCTGTGCCTGGGCAAAAGAAATACTGTATTTTTACTTCACAGACTGCTCTTAGAGAACTTGTATTTTGCTCATACTGTATGAGTATAAGAAGCAGCACATTTTAATTGTTACAATTCTACAGAACTT